GCCAAATCTCATGATTCTCAGTTCCCCGACCTATACCTTGTCAACGACACCGAGGTCTGGATCCGGGGCTGAGAACGGATTTTACGTTCCGAACGGCGGCCTAATAATAGCCCGCACTTATCGACACTACCAGGTCTGTCAGGCCCAGACATTGGCGGGCACCTGGCAGGGCAGCACCACTCCAAATTTCCTCAACGCATGCGAAAAGGAGAGAGAGGATTTGCCGCACCGCCCAGAAAGCTGACGAGACAAGATGGCGTCCACTTGCCGCGCTTCCTCTTTCAATTCCCTATCTCGACGCGCCTGTCCAGCCACAGCCCCACGTCCCGACAAATCTACCAACAAACCAACGGGGCCAATTGTTTCTGGCCAGAGATAGTTCACAGCTGAGACCCGGCAGATGCGCGGCATGTTCCGCGACGTGTTACACCTACAAAAAAAAAAAAAAAAAAAAAAAAAAAAAGGGTACGCTCCTCGGCCAGTGAGCTGGGAGAAACACTGCCGGCGCACCGTACCTGCAGGGTCTTGGCATGTCTGACATCGGAGATAGCACTCGATTTGCCACTCGAAGCTCAGGCCAATGGTTTTCTCAATTGAACCGGTTCCAGGAACCGCGACAAGTTGCAGCCGCATGCCCGACCTCGACCCGGCCTGCGACTCCGACACCGTGGCTCAAACGTGGCCACGAGGCACATTACTCGCGCCCGCAGAACCGGAGCACGCAACTGATGGCAGAAGCTCCACAGATGGCAGTCGGTTCAGGGGCTGCAGTGAAACCTTGGGATCGCGTCTTGTTTCCAGGTATGGTCACCATCACGGCTGCGGTTATCTCGTGGCATTCAAACGGTATTTGTTCCATTGGCCGTGCTTCAATTGTCCTGCTCTGTGAATGTCCTACCTCAGCTCTACGAAATCTAGAATCCAGGGTGATGCCGCAAAGCATCAGCAGCCCCCTAACCAACTTGAATCCACAGCACCTCGGATTTCTTATCGCCAGGCCCACATCCAAACTATCGCGAGGGTGAATCTTTGTCCTGGTCTCTTGTGTGAGCACTTATTCCTTGACTGGTGTTTTTCCATTGTTTCAGAGTATTGATTGAGGCATCGTTGTAAGGAAGTTGGGTTAAAAAGCACGACCTTCGCTCCAGAGAGTTGATCTTGGGCTTGTGTGTGGTCGCCCTCGTAGTTAGCGCCGCGTCCCCTTGGCCGCGGAGCTCGGAATTGGCAGACATGGCGGGCAGGTCTCAGGGGGCCGTCAGCGTCGCGGTCTCGTCCCCCTCGCTCACGTCTTTTTTGTGATGCATGAATCCCTCGGGCTGGCTACTCGATCTCCTTGAGGACCTCTCGCGAGGGCCTCTCGCTCGGCCCTCAAACCCATCTAGTTGACATTATCACCCCCGTCTGCCGGTCCGCGCAGATGCGACCTGGCGGTTGACGACCGCTATGCTCGCAATGAATGAGAAGCTCGGCGGGCAGCGGTTCCTAGTCAGTCCTCATTAGATAGCGTACCCATTGGATAATGTCGAACAGATAGGTCGTGAGAAAAGCCCCTGTCGATCTTATTGATAACTACTGGTAAGCACTAGGATATCAAAGAGTTGTTAGTATATTCACCCAACCGTTCAAGGTGGTACCCCAACAGATAAAACCTCGTCATCTTGAGCACTAACGAGTAAGCAGAACGGCTAGCAGCTAACCCGGGTGGGTTCATTCCACGTCATAGCAAAACAAATGAAAAAAAAAAAAAAAGCAAAACTGAATTCGGGTAAGGCATGGTAGGTACCTAGAAAACCATATGTCCTCCAATAAGGAATCTAAGACAATAACCATTTTCAAATGGTGACCAATGTCTAGAGCCTGGAGGAGCTTGGGTCTCCAAACCGGGATTTTTCCTCCGCTTGAAAAGTCGTTGTTTAATCGTGTTCCAGCCTGCGGCTACTCGAAGGCGCAGGGGTCCGGGGCTGTGTTGATGGTAGTTAGCTATCTCTGAACCATACATCGACAGAACATTGCCAAGCGGCGCGACTTGATTCACTTACCGAATCGAGCTTGAATATTTGACAACTCCCTTGCCAAAGCGTCCCGAGCGATGAGGGACTGTGCGCGGAAGCTTCCAAATGCGCACTCAACCGTTGCCCAGCCGCGCTCGTCGATCCCGAGCTCTTCGAAGTTGTCCTCCTGATAGTCAAATCGGCTCGAGAAGAAGTCTCGGAGGAAAGCCAGGTTGACGACCGCGGCGTCGCCAAAAACGTGGAGGACACGGCTGTGTTCGCGTGGCCCGGCATACTCCCGCACCCGGATCCGGTTGGGGGTGATCCTGATCCCCCTCGTGTTCCATCCCTCGTGTCCAGCGATGGGGAAAAAGCCACCATACCGGCCCATGAACCGCTCTGTGGAAGCCCGGTCGAAGAAGACCACCTTGACAGCAGACGACGTGATCTGCTTGCTAGGATCCGGGGGAGAGATTGAGGTCGCGTAAACGCGACCACACCCGCGGATGCTGGCCAGCAGGTTTCTCGTAGTCATATGCGGTGGGAGGCCAATGATCCACAGCGCACAGTTCTCCGCCTCGGGAATGTCGGCGGAGCGGTTCTGCTCCAGGTTGTTGTTGCCCCGGTAGTTGGGGCTGAATCCCTTCAGGACATTGTCGAGAGCCTGGACACGGGTTTGCGGCAACGGTGCCGGTCGGACAAGTGCAGAAGCGTTCTCGCCGTTGTACGGATTGTACTGATGGCGGGAGGCCATCGGGCGGAAAACGCGGGCCTGGCGATAGACTGCCAGGGTTCTATCCCAGTCCGCATCATGCGAGCCTGTAGGCCGGCCATCTGTCGCCGCGACCATTGAACTCGTAAGGCTGCCGATGGGTCCTTGGACACGGGCATTTGGTCGCGCGATGCCGTCCGGGATAGGTGCCGTGATGTCGAGAGAAGAACCCGGAGCCGTACTGGGACTATTGTTGCCTGGACTGACATCGGAGTAGAAGGTGGTGGTTTCGGCATTGCTAGGAGATCCGAATAGGAGCTGACCGGGTTGGTCCCAAAGACCAGATGCAGGAGCGGATTCTGCAGCACTGGGCTGCCACCGACGTACAGCCTGTCCCCATTCGTTGCTTGATCTGGCGTCGCTGAAGTTGATCAAGGCCACCTGTCGAGCCAGAAGTAGCACAGCAGCCTCATAGCTCTCGGGCATCTCTTGCTTCTGTGCCGAGGGGTTCATTTTGAATCACGGCAGTTTTTTTGTTGTCGTTGTCATTGTCGTTGTCGTTGTCGTTGTCGTTCTCGTTATCGTTGGCGAGAACTTGAAATTAATCCCGGTGTGCGGTGGCCGTGGTGGGTAGACAAAAACTCCAAGATTTTTTTGTGCGGGGCGAGGCTGCTTTGGCGAGGAGAGACTGCTTTCGCAGGGTGATGTTAGTATTTTTGCTCGAGTGGTTGGACTCCTCTGGATTCGTCTGAGACGCGGTGTGGAGGGCTGTGGTAGGGCACGAGTTACTATAAGGGCCTCATGAGTAACGACACCGATAAGTCCCCTCGGGATACATCACATGCAGAGAGATTGGCACACCCAACCAAGCTGAAGAGCAACTTTGCGGTGAATGCGTGTTCCTGGCAGGTGGCAGTGTGCAAGGGGTGCCATTCTACTGTGCTTTCTATGTTTGCGCTGTTGATGTTGAGCGGGCCGGCTTGCTGCTCTTTGTCATATTGGATCGACTCGCAGTCGCACAGGAGACGGCAGAAGTTGGCAAAATTGGCGCCGGCTTCGGCAAGAAACTAAACCATGTCTTTCGTCGCCATTCTTCGAAAGCCAGGTGGATAGGGTAGTGATGGGGTCCGACGTCCAGAAGGAAGTCGTTGCTGTGATCGGGGTTGTGGTCCCCTGACAGCTCCCAGAAAGCCCAGGGATCACAACTCGCCGGGGGAGGAACAGTATAGACTCTGACCCTGCCGGTTGAGCTCCTGTGTCAAGTGTGCGTTGGGATTCCCTCCATTCTGAAGGGCAAGCTTCACGGTACAGAGATAGCCCTTCTTAGCGGCCCAGACGACAGGATACAAGGCCATGTGGGTTGCGCCGTGGCGGTAGAGATCTGAAGTGATGGCAGCGCGAAACCTAGCGACAGGTGACGACAAGGGATGCGAGGTCGCGCTGGTCGAGGATGCCTCCTCGTGAAATCCCCTGCCAGATCTCGACCGGGAGACGCAACACGGCGGTCATCTCGACTGGATCACACTGCATGACTCGTTACAGCAAGTATCTCTTTTCATCAATGAAGGCGGGAAGAGGTTGTCGGAGAGGGGGAGACCAGCGATTGAACACGGACGTTGTCCTTAGCATGGGGTGTGTGGGACCACGCTGACCTGAGCCTTTCTAGTGAGACCAGCGCGCCGTGTGTTGTGGTTGCTCTCGGCAATAAGAGCTCGTCAACTGGACCCGTATGGATAGCTAAGTTGAAGAAAGAGTGTGTTGCTTCTGCCATGTGATCTAGCACCCGGAAGAAGAAAAAGGAATTACAGCCCACGGCCTGCCTTGGCGTACTTTCCCAAGCGAAACTTGCTGGTTTAATTGCCAGCTTAGTATATACAACTGCAGGGAGCGGTGGCCGAGTTATCGGGGAAACCTGCTTGTTCAAATATTTTCGTTTTACATTTACGGATTGGTTGAGTTGTTCAACTGGCTCAAGCCTCGACCTACATGCACTCACGGAAACCTGCAGCCGGGCACTAAGCTAACAGTCAAACCAAGGGTTGGAATGTACAGGCACATATAGAAGCAACCAGACCAAATGGCCCATCAAATCCGATCCGCCGACTTCATCAACCACCACACACAGTTGTATAGACGATATTTGCACACATCAAACAGCAGACCTCCGTTCGCCATGCATCAAACACCGGCCACCACCTCGCCCAAGCATCCAAACCCCCGCGGGACAACCCCGAGCAAGAACACCAGACCCCGGAGACCACGGTGGAGATCATGGTGGAGCAGGCAGCAAAAAGAATCAATCGAGCTGGGACTCAAACCCAGAGCCTTTACCAGATGGGAGCATTAAATCACCGGAAAGTAACGCGCTACTAATTGCGCCACCCGACCGAATGTGCTGTTTGATGGGAGTTGGTGATGCAAAACCGTGGTGTTGCTGGACACCTTTGTTTTGTTGAAGCTAGATATTTTGAGCGGGGCGTTTGGAAAAGGGGCAGAGTGGTATGCCGATGGCCAACGACCCAACCCTCAAAAAGTGGCATTGCAGAGTGAGGGACGGAAATAGTCACAATGTAATTGGGGCAGTCGGCGCAAAAAGTCACCTTCAAGACCCGGTGAGTATGATGCCCCAAACAAATATCACAGCAGAGGGTAGCAAAGGTTGCGAAGCAACGCTTTCTTCAATGGCGTCGCAGCCAGTACCTGGTAATGTTACAAAACAACACCCCGCTTTATCGGCAAGGCAATTTTCTATCAACCTTGCCTCGCTGCCCTTCGCTGTGCATATGGACACAAGATTAAGCATAAAAGTTCACCGTCTGGGAAAATGGTCAGCACTGCGATACGACCGCATAGAAGTCGAGGGGATGGTAAACTTACATCCTTCTTCTTGGCCTGCACCTCAGAAATGGCATCGACGTAATGCTCGTGGCCAATCTTGTTCTTGCCCATCCGTAGCGCAATCATGCCGGCCTCGACACATACAGCCTTGAGCATAGCACCGCCAAACTCATCCGTGCTGCGAGCCAACTCGTCCCAGTTGACGGCCGGGTCAACCTTCATCTTACGCGAGTGAATCTTGAGAATCTGTGCACGAGCCTCCTCGTTGGGTAGCGGAAATTCGATCTTGCGGTCCAGACGGCCGGACCGGAGCAGGGCAGGATCGAGGACGTCAACACGGTTTGTGGCGGCGAGCACCTTGATCCGGTCGTCTGAAGCAAAACCGTCCAGCTGGTTGAGAAGCTCCAACATGGTTCGCTGCACCTCACGATCACCACTCTTCTCGCTATCGAAACGCTTGGTGCCAACAGCATCCAACTCGTCGATAAAGATGATGGCCGGCGCCTTCTCCTTGGCGAGGGCAAAGCAGTCCCGGACAAGTTTCGCGCCGTCGCCAATAAACATCTGTACCAATTGGGGGCCGGCAAGCTTGAGGAAAGTGGCATCGGTTTGAGCGGCGCAGGCTCTGGCAAGTAGCGTCTTGCCAGTTCCGGGTGGGCCGTACATGAGAGCACCTGCAATCAATTCTTGTTAGCAAAGACACATCCATATCTCAGGCTCGGGTCTAACTTGCCCTTTGGCGCCTTGATTCCAATCTTCTTGAAGCGCTCCGCCTCCTTCATGGGCCAGACAATAGCCTCAACCAGCTCCTCAATCTGCTTGTCGAGACCACCAACGTCGGTGTACTTCTCAGTCGGCTTCTCGTCAACCTCCATTGCCTTGACTCTGCTGTCGTACTCGGCAGGGAGAGTGTCGAGAATTAGGTATGAGTCTTTGTTCACACCGATGAGATCGGCGGGCTTGAGCTTCTCAGGGTCGACAAGGCCAATAAGCGGCAGGAATATGGTTTGCCTCGTGGACGTCTTAATCACTGCTGACTTGCCCACACGGGTAGCATCGAGGTCAATGTTGGCGCCCTCTTCCAAGGACTCGGCCGTCGGATCGAGGTCCAGAAGTTCTACAACATTGCCGACGAGGTAAGGCAGTTGACTAGGTATTGTCAGCAATGACAAGAGAGGACAAGGCCGTGGTGCCAACTTACCGATTGTTCGCAATCTTCTCCTGGTTCTCCTTGATCTTCTCGGCCATGGTGGCCTTTTCATGTGATAACCGCTGGTACTCGCTCCTCATGATCCTTGAATCGTTTTCCAGCAGCCGTTTGCGCGTCAGGATGTCCTGGGTGTTGAGGCTGAGGATCTCCTCGTCGAGCACGTTATCCTCCTCGGTCTCGGCGTCCTTCATGTCGGCATCGCCATCTCCGCCCTTGTTGTTCTTATCGTCATCATTCCTGTCCCTCCTGTCGTCGCGCTCGCGGCGATCGAGATCGTCGAGCTCTTCGAGGGTCGACATGTTGGGGAGTGGCGCTTGATGCGGTAGTCTGGTGGGGTAGAAAAGGTAGTTTTGGGCGGCGATCGAGATGATGGGATGATGAGCGTTGGTTGCGCAAGGCTGCCGGGTCTGGTTGTCAGATCGGGTTGGGGAGGGAGACGGATGATGAATGCGGTTGGGAGAGGTTGTGAGGTCGTGCAGGCCTCGGAGCTCAATCGAATCGAATCGGCTGGGAGCTGGGCTGCAGGCAAAAGCGCGACGTAACCAGGCAAGCCTGGGGCGGATCCACTCGCGCGCCCCACTTTCTGCCACGACCCAGCTGACTCAGCACGAGAGCTATAGCTTCGGAGCTTTGGAGTTTTGGAGCTCTCCAGCATTCACCGAACTTTGAACGAAGGAGCTTGCACAATCCAACCCTTGTTTTTATTCTTGGCGTGGGACTTCAAAGCACATTATAGAAGGCCTTTTTGAACACCAGAATGGCTTTTCAAATGCCACAAATACCCGTTTCTATGGTGGAACGGCCTTATGAAATACCGAATACACATTTTTTTTTACTTTATTTTTTTAAATTTATTTATATATATAAAAAAAAGAAGGGCTTTCCAGGACTGCAATATCTCCCTTTGCCCTGGTAGACGGGTCATGCGCTACGTTGGATTGTAGGTGTTTCGAACTCTTCGGTTTTCATGTGACAATTAAAATCGTGTTCTTGAATGCGGGGAGCCTAATCATGGCTCCCATGCTACATCTGAGGTTCAGATGCATAATTAAATACAGATAAGCAAACAGCCTGCCATAAAAATCTCCAGTATCCCTCCAACTGCCCTGCCACTTCAGGGCGGATTCTCGTGTCGCTGCTCCATTGGCACCTCCCGATGACAAAATACCGGTACTCGGACAACCCAGCAAACAATGCTCCAACCACTAAATAATGGATGCACGCGGTACAAAAGAACATATATGTACGGCAGAAAACCCGGTCAAGCTCCCACTTCGCCACCGCCATCATTACCCCCGTGGTCCCACTGCTATCTTACTCGTCGTCCAAGATCCTGCTTGCTATCCGCCCAATAATGGGCACCTCATACCTGCGATGAGTGTTAGCACGGTATCTCGTCTCAAGGGTAACAGGCACAAACCTGTCTAACGTATCTGCATCCCTATACGCATTCATCACAAGCCAACCTATCAAGGCAATGTCCCCGAGGATCAAAAGCCAGGTCAGGAACCTGCTCCCCAAGAAAACCAAGTGTATGACGAAGATGGAAGTAAACAGCAGGCTTGACTGCCAAGCATGGAAGCTGCATAACCGTTAGCCATAGCCCAGCAATAACAACCCTCGTCCAGACTCACCGAACATAATCACTCTTCCTCTCCAGAATCAACAAGACTATCGCCCCCAGCGGCGGTAGCGCCAGATATGCTAGACAAGCTTCGTAATCCAGCCTCAGCCCCAAGCTCGTGTCAAACTCGGCGACCATGCCCTCGCGCGCGCCCAGCGCATTGAAGTAATCGCCTCCCCATCCACCACCACCACCACCACCTAGCCCGAGGGCCGCGCCGGGGCTCTGGTACGCGGCGTGGACGGCATCGCCCGACCACGCGCGCTGCGGTTGCGGGTGCTGCAGCGGGGGCGGCGACACCTGCGAGGGTCTGTGCTGGTAGGCGGGCGAGTGCGACGTGGGGCGCGCGTCGAACGAGGTGCGCGGGGAGCCGGAAACGGGAGAGAAGGACGGCCGGCCAGCCTCGGGAGGCGAGGACTGGTAGGGTGCAAAGTCCATTCTGTGATTTTTTCCCCCCAAGTAGGTGGGAATCAGATGGCTCCCGAGTTGAATCGAGCTGTAGTTGATTGCGCCGGTGCGCGATGGACGCGGGGTTGAAGGGCACTAGGTTGGCGGCCGGTGTTGGTTGGGGGTCGAAGTGTCAAGGGGTGGAATTAATCCAGAGGCAGGCCGCAATGGAGGTTCAAGACGAGAGCAAAAGCTGGAACGGTCAAGGTGAAGTTCAACCTTGTCGACAGGAGGAGCAAGTGTAAGCTAGGCGCATATTTTCTGTTGCGCTGCGCTAAATTAAGATGAGGTTGAGATAGGTTGCGGATAAGCTATACAGCTCAGCTCGGGGCAGTATTGCAAACGATGAACTAGCTGGCCTATAAAGGCTGCCTGGTGTTCCACCACAAGAGGATGGAGGTTTGATTGCGAAGCTGAGCCTCATGGAAATGGAAGGGTGTCGAGTGTGACGACGCGCGCAAGCTCCCGTCCCGCCGAAGGGTAGCAGCTGCGCCTGCAGGACGTGCTAACACAGCGGGGGGCGGCCCCCGCGCTACCGTGACATTTCTAGGGGTCAATGCTCACCACCCGGTCCTGGGCCTCAATTGACATCCATCCATACAATCCAGCCCTGGTTTGTTAGCGCGGGACTTTGAAGCTCGTTATTGATATAGGGAAGGCCTTTCAAAGTACCAGTTACACGATTTAAAATGCTAGAAATTTCGTTAGTAATGCTGAAAAGGCCTTGATGAAAACCAAATGTGCCTGTTTTTCATGATAGACAGGCCTTATGGCTATCAAAGCTTCAATATCTCTCTTGGCGGGAGTGTTCTCCGCTAACAAACAAACCAGGGTCGGATTGTACCTACTTCACCGCAGCCAACCACGGCTAACCTCTGGGACTTGCACAGAACGAAAAAATCCACGATGGATGCAGGGTCCTAGTTAGATATTTCCTCGTGTTTTGTTACATTGAATTTTTTTTTTTATACAGGCTTTGAATCCTACAAACATGGCATGCTAGATCAGATATTATGGATGCATTGGTCTCAGCTCCAAATGTCTTGATCAGCCCTCCTTCTTCTCGACCTTGACGGCAGCCTCTAGGGCAGCCTCGGGCCCCTTCTCGGCCTCCTCCATCATGCTCCTGCGGCTCTCCATCGTCAACCACAAAGACTTGCCAGCACCCTCCAGAGTAGACGTCAAGCCAAGACCAGCGCTCTGCAGCATGCGAACAAGCTGAGCACGCAGGCCTTCCAGACCGTGCTCGATACCGCCAACCCACTTGAC